CAAACTGTGGGGTTGACAGGACCTGGGGAGGAAACAGGAGCTCACCCTGCTAACGCGAAGGCTGGACTCGAACCGCTGAAGCGTTGACCGGTGACTCCAATGACTGTATTGAGGTTTCAAGGCCAGTGTTACTGACTGGCGTCTCCACTGGTCCCTTCTCTATTATGAGACGAGAGAGAAAGAGACAGAGAGACAGAAAGACAGTGCACTAAGAGTTTATGAAAAATGAAATAAAATAAAATTAGTTGTGCTAACCCCAATGAGGGGCAAGCAGACCAAGTTAAATAACTTTAAAAACTGGTGTCTGACTTGGCTTGTTTTCCTCTTCCTCTCATCCTTCTTTCTTTTAATTTCGTGTCTCTTATGTTCTAAACCTCCTGGGACTGTTTGTGTTGATTACTGATCTATATAAATTGTTCTGCTAGCCTTTTTAGCTGAGAATCGTAAAATTGTGCTAAAGATACTGAAATGCAAACAATCAAGGCTGCTTTCCCCAGATTATATTGAAGCCTACATTTTTCACCCATCTGTAAGATTACTGTGCTAATCTTACAATTACTGTGGTAATTTTACAGTGAACTTGTATTAACATGAGCGCTAGCAAAAAGTCTGATATTCCAAGAAATTGGAAAATACGTTCAAATGTTGCTTGATGTTTTGAAAATCATAACACCAAAAAGTCTGAACTTTTAAATAGTGTGTTATATCTTATTTAGGATATGCATGTTTACCATTAAGAAATACATCTGATACCAACAGATACCATCTGCTTCAAGTCAACAGAACAGGCATATTGAATCCAAATATTTCCTTTTTATGTATTTTTAATTATCTGGCCTGCCTCATCTCAAAACAAACTCTGAAATAAAAGTTTTACAGCACAAGGTATCCTCAGATCAAAGACACCTTGCATATAAAGCAGTGATGGGAACTAATTCTCATACGGGTCCAGCCCAATAGGCCAGATGATATCAGGGAGCAGAGTTTTCAAGGGACACCTGAGCGCATGGGCAAATTCACCACCCTTTGTTGTCATCTGTTCCCCCATGCAGAACCAGAGTAGAGGACCTGCTATGAGAAAAAAAGCCTTCTTGGTGCAATGGCAACTTTATGGCCTGGAAGTTCTCCCCTCTCCCTCATTGTAAAGGCTGAAAATGAAGAGGCAGGAACAAGTGGACTTAAACCAGGCTGAATAGTTGCGTAAAAGTAGAATAGGTGCATTGCAGTCTCAAGTCTGGGAAAAGAATGACTAAGAGTCCATGGGCTTGAGACAGTGGGAGAAAGAGGCTTAAAGGAAAGAAAGAGACAGACAGAGAGACAGACTTATTTCTGTGTTTGTGGTAGGCAGTTCTCCGTCTGTGTCTGTGTGTCTGTGTGGCTTCTTTCTTCTCTTCAATAAAGCAAGCTATCTGATAGTACTGACTCCTTGAAATTTCTGTTATCATCAAATTCCTGAAGGTGAACTGAGTTTCCAGAATGGTAATGATTTATAGCACGCCTGGCCTAAAATCTGACACTCAGAGTGAGAAAACAGTCCCATCTGCTTTTCTATGCCTGAATCAGTTCAATCTGCATCTTGGATAAGGAACAGTCTGGAAAAATACTAATAGCACATGGATATGATTTGGATTGGATTCCTGGGATAAGCATGAAGTGGGCAACAGTTAAGCAGATCTTTCTTAGGAGCCTTCTTCAGCTCCAAATTGGCACTGCAGATTTTATTTGGGAATTTTCTCCAGAGCTTGGTTCCAGTCTGGAGGCTCCTAAACTTTTTGCCATTACATAATCTTAATGGACCCACCTCCCCTAAAAATCTAAACACCAAAATGAACACAAACAAACAATGAAAACAATACAATGAAACTTTATTTTTAATAAAGACATAAAAAATAAAAATCTT